GAGCGAGGTTAGGTTAGCCGTTAGTTCAATCATTATCTATATCTACACAAATAAATAAAATTGAAGTGTCTGTTATAATGTCAAAATAACAGCTTTTTACTAATTGCATATGAAATTATATACGCTACTTATAACACAATTTTTAACATTTTTCTGTCTGTCTGTCTGTTTGTTCCGGTTAATTTCCAAAACGGCTGGACCGATTTTGACGGGACTTTCACTAGTAGATAGCTCATGTTATAAGTAGTAACTTAGAATGCTTAAATTTTAGAAAAATTATTAGGCGTCCGTGCAACAAAATTAACACCCTAAACTAAATGCGGACGAAGTCGCGGGGAACAGCTGGTAGCTAAAATAAATTCAAAATTAATTGAGTGCTTTTATCTATCTCCCAGGTGAGCGTAACAATGATTAGTTAATTCTGAACTCTTTCATTTCACGTTGCTATGGTATTTTGAAAGTTTAATTGATTAATAAGTTTTTATTTTATTTATTTCTTTAAAAAAAAGACGTTACCCCCACACTAGGATTTTCTCGTGTATCGTGGAGGCAGTTTACAAACACAAATTGCACAAGGACAAACATCCAGACCCGGAACAATTATTTGTAGGCCATACAAATACAAATACTTGATCCGTGCGGGATTCGAACCCGCGGCCCCCTGCTCAGCAACTCATTGCTAAGACACTGCGCCACGGAGCCGTATAAGAGTATAAGAGGTTGATAGCAAATGTATCAAGAATCATTTCTTGCCTACACACTTTTCATGTATCGTGTACGTTTTTCTTTAAAACTGAATAAAACCGCGCATAGTATGCCGACAGATAAAATAAAAGTACTTCATTAATTATGACAATTTTTCCATACATTATTATCAAATAAAATATTTGATTGCAATTATAAAACTAGGTGTCATGTCATGCCATGCATCTCGGACACATGATGACGCGGGTGAAACCGCGAAATGATTAGGCGCTGCTTTATCGCTTCATATTATACCTCTGTGGCTCTATATACCTAATATAGATTGCTTATTTTATTATGTTTAGTTTTTCCGAGTGGTTATGCAGCGATCACTCAAGAGTTCGGCTTCGAACGTGTGTAACTGCAAAAATTATCCCACGGGAACGAAATATTTTATATTACTGGGAGCCGCGGGTTCGAATCCCGCACGGAACAAGTATTTGTATGGCCTACAAATAATTCTTCCGGGTCTGGATGTTTGTCCTTGTGCAATTTATGTTTGTAAACTGCCTCCACGATACAGGAGAAACTCCTAGTGTGGGTGTAACGTTTTTTAAATAAGAAAAAAAAAATTTGTATGGCCTACAAATAGTTGTTCCGGGTCTGGATGTTTGTAAACTGCTTCCACTATACAGGAGAAAATGCTAGTGCGGGGGTAATGTATTTTTAAAAAATAAAATAAAATAAAATTCCAGACTATAACCTATCTCTGAGCAAAATATCATCCAGGTCCCTTCAGCGGTTCTGGCGTGATTGAATAACATACATCCTTTCATTCGTCCATCCAAATATCCAAACTTTCGCATTTATAATATTTAGATAATAATTGTAATTAGTTCTGCTTACCTATAAATTTTTTTCAAAAATACTTACCTGTCTTCTTACTTTTTTTTATATATACTCAATATCACTAAACGTAAACACAGGTTTTTATCAAGACAAGTGACCCATCAAGATTGTTTTCTTAGTACTGACGTACCTACCTAAAGTTTACAATTTTGTGGCCACGACGCGGTGACGTTTTGTGACATTTTGTTGTATTGTAGGTTGTAGGTATCTAGGTAATAACAGTAGGTACCTATGAAAATCCCACATAATATACCTTGTTTGTCCGCCGCAAGAGTCGTCTAATAAATAATTAAACTGTTTTGTAATTCTTTATTTATTTATAACACTTGCATTGAGAGCCGTGGTAGCTCAGATGGTTATCGTTCGCCGTAAGTATCACACTACGCGAGCAACCCGGGTTCGATCCCCGTCGGCACCAATGAAATTGTTGCAATTTTATATAGTAATCGTATATTATAGACTTAATTTTTTTTCTTTTATAATTATATTATATTACAGACGAAAATTGAAATAAAAAACAAAATTGTCTGTCGTCCAAAACGCATCATCTCTTTCAATTATATCAATTTCCATGCTGTCTTTTGTCTTTGGCGTCCAAATTACAAAATAGCAAAACTTTTCGTTTCGAATAAAACTCGAATAAGCCCGCGTCACCGCCCGTGCATGTGTGTGTAAGCGTCGTCCTCCCGCACCGCACCGGGGCAAACATTATTCAGTGAGATGCACGATAATTCATAGTAACATACGCGCGTAAAAAAATACGAAAAGGCCTTTGGAAGAAGGGGTTTTATGAAAAAACCACTGCATAAATTAATTACGAATAAAATTTCTTGAATTCTTCGATAATTGAGCTGTGTCGGTACCGACTTTGTTTTGGAAATTTCACACTTCTTTTATTACTAATTTACGCCCAAAGTTGTGTTAAAATTGGCAATAAAAACGAATCTTTGGTAGCTCGTAACTTTTTAATAACATTTTATTTTACTATTCTGTTTCCGTACAGACAAATTTGATAATGAGACAAAACGATATCATGTTTAACTTTGGATGTACACTGTCAAACAGCGTAGTAAAACCCCTCCGAAATTTGTATGGAAATCAATGGAAATATTGTCGACTAGTGTCACCTTAAGTTTCCTTTACTAGCGAATTATCGCATCGTCGAGTAATTAGTAAGTGCTGTCTACGGAGTAGTTATTTATGCGTTCAGCTAAAAACCTTCTTCAGTTTAAATGTCTCGCCTTTAATGGGCCCTTACATTTAATAATATAATAACCATTTGTCGGCAGATTGCATGTATGTATTTATTGTAGACGATAACCTATCGTCAATTCAGTACACAAAGAATTCTTGATAGTTATAAAAATAGTTTATTCAATATATTGTAATGCAGTAATATCGTTGTTTTATTTTTGTATTGCCTTACCATCAATGCAATAGTTATATGATTGCCATGGATATTGGCCAGGTGGATATCATAACGGGGAAAAATAAAAGATAATAGGAGGAAATGATAATATAGATAATACTGAAACTTCATAACATTTTTATAATTATTTATTCTTTGGCTCAACGTCGTTATTTGGACTGATTTTATCTTAAAATATCTAAAATTCACATAGGTATATAGTAGTAGTATACTAACTTATATTATTAACGTTAAGCGTTAATTGATTATCAGTCAATCCATATTAAACTACAGTCACCTCAAATTTGTACGGCGTTTTATAGATGTAGCATAAAAAAAAGGGTACATTCAAAAATAGTCGAAGAAAAGTCAGTGCTTCTATAAATTGTATCTAGGTTGATTTAAATTTACTTTGTATGACGTGGTCAGGCATAAGAGTGGCCAATATTTTCTTTTGGGGTGGTATCATGGGGAACAGACTTCCATAAAACAATCCTACACGTTAATTTTCAAATGGAGTTGGAGATTATTTTCATGGGGAGTACTAGGTTTCCTAGGCCAACCGTAGTTCTTCTAGCTAAGCCGATGATACTCAGATTTCGTAAAAAAATTGCTTTTCGGTACTTCCTTCATGTTAACTCGTTAAAAGTCCATTGCTGGAGATGTTATAAAAGAAAGAATGTCTTTACACTTGGCAGGCTACTTTCCACAGCCGATTTGAGAAGGTTAAACTGTCACCGATCGGGAGCCACAAGATCATAGCATTTCAATGAGTTTGTGCTAACGGCGTGTAGGGGCGTTGTAAGAAAATCCACTATCCAGTATCATCCCGGAGGTGTCATGAGAGGCGACAGAAATGGGCAGCAGCGTCTTTCTGAAAGCAACTCTGTCATGCGTGTCAACTATGCAAAACAATCACCTTTATGAAGGCTGTATATGGGGCAGGCCTATGTTCAACAGTGGACTATAAAGAATGGATGTATGAAAAAAAATTTACGGTATCCACGAAACAATTTGGTTGATAACGTGGTGGATTTTATTAGTGTGTCAACACGGCGGACGGCGGCCTAGCGCTACTACATTAGTAGAAGCACTGCGAACATTGCAAATGATGCCGAAAACATGCTTAACTTTTTGACGCACGCACTCATCTTTCTTCTTTTTTTCTTTATCAGCCTACTAAAGTTCACTGCTGGACGCACAAATTACACCTAAACCCATGTTGGTTACAATGCGATGTCTAAATGTACGTGAGTGCGTGTTCTTGTAATAAGTCGAACATGGTAATGGCTCGGTTTTTGCATCACTTGAAATGTACGCAGCGCCTTTCTTTCTTTTTTTCCTTTGTTGGTTTGAGCTCCTAATCTAGTATGAGTTCCGTTACACAAAACAGAATGTTGATATGAAAAATCATGATGATATCCATTTATTTTTTATTGAATTTCATGTCCTTAAAATTACGGATTCAATCTCTATGTCTACTATGCATTTTAAATATAGAATGCCATTAAACTTGACATCGTTATTTTTTCACTGAGCCTTCTTCAACTACTAATGATAAAAGTTTTATGAACAGTAACAGTCCGTAAAAGTAAACGCAGGAGCTTTAAAAAAACATCATTGGTTAAGGTCGGCTTTGTAGAGCGTCGTATCCTCTATGTGTCACATCTTAATTGTATGTACGCAGCGTAAACAAAGTACTGTGTATTCTATGTTATAGGTACCTATATTTCCATAAATTTTGACCCAGTTGACTATGATATAAGTACGACGACTAACAAGTCAGCTACAAAACGTCTTACAGTTTCGAATGACAGAAGCAATCTTGGTCCTTAGTTAATAGCGCTCTTCAAAGCCAAAGTTAGCCAATTATGAACGTGCGACATACAGTATTTGTCATACACGCCCCCCAGCACGCTTGAAGAGAGCGGGCATTGAATTCTATACTAAGGCTCGATGTGTATCTTTAAGAGGATGTAATGTACGCATTAGAAGTACACTAATACATATAATAATCTGTTGAATTATAATCTATGGCGCCGAACTTCTTGAGGCGTCGGGCGCGCAATCCCATGAGCGGTCGAGGCCGCACCCTGTGCGGAGCGGCGGTGGCGGCGGCCGCGTATTGTTTGTCCAGGCAGCAGCGCGGATCTCCATCCGCTAGGCCAGTCGTCGCGGGACAGAACGGGGTCGTGAAGTCCTCGAGACAGTACGTACCATACGCTCTGCAGATGATATTGAACATGTTTGTTTATTCTAGGCGGTAGGGATCCTTTTGCCTATTAGTGTATTTGGCTTGGATAGGGTCAGAGTATTTAGTGAAGTTGTTACCTATATTATGTATGTGTTACCGGAAATGTATGAAATCTAGGAATTGTATACAAATCCTAGGAAATTTATATAATTCCGAAGCTATTTAGGAAATGTATAAAATATTGTTTCAAAAACTATTTAATACATAAATGTCCTAGGAAATGTGCACAACTCCTAAGAATTGTATATAATTCCAATATCGTATTAGGAAATGTATAAAAATAATAATTTCTGTAATAAAACACGTTGTTAAAATGAGAATAATATTTTTTATTAAAACACTCGTTGAGACAACAGCGTTCAGGTAACAGTCATTTCGTAAAATATAATAATCTTCATATTATCTTACTAATTAAAGCTTCGAAAATCAAGTATCTAGGAACTTTTAAAATGTATTTATCACAAAATCGACTTATATTATTCTCATAAAGTCAAACTTTCGTTGGGTAAGTAATTAGTCTGTTATTTAAGTAATTATAAATGTCACAATATTAAAGTAAGTCTTTATATTATACAACGAGTCAGTCCATATGGCTATTATATATATTTTTGCAGGGTAAGCCGGAATGGCACTTGGAAATACACAATAATTTATTTTTATAGCACAGACATCTTGCTGTAGTACAGTTTTTCTTGCAATGGCACTTTTTAAATCCCTGGCCGGTTCCAGTAGATTGTAGGTTAGCAACTGACCGTAGTGCTATCTCCGTACTCGGTACATCCTCTGCATCAAGAAGAGCTCTTAGACACACATTAATCTGAGATCGAGAATATGATTGTTTTAAGATTCCGTTCTTGGTACCAATTTGATAAAGCTCATCATCGGATTTAGCCAAAACTACACCTATAATATTTCGGGCATCACCACGTCCTCTGTCAACCTCTGGAACTGCAATTCGTACAGAAGTGTCAATAGGTACAGGAGCAAACTTCTTTTCACTCGATTTCAGCATTTTTTCAGCCTGTTGTTGTAGGTTTCTCTTAGCACTTTGACGATATTCTTGTACTTTATATTTTTTTGAACATAATAGACACAAAACTTTATATCCAAATCCTTCATCAGATAATTCTTCAGTAACAGCGCAAATAGCGTGGATTGTACATCCATATTCTCTACATGTAGTTTCCTGTGAACAGACGCTGCATTGGAGGGTGCAAGCTGAAGGTTGCGTATTTGTTTCACGTTGATCTAAATCGTTGTTAGAAACTTGACTTGTCTCTGTGTTCACCTTAGAGAATTCACATGCAGTGACTTCGGGATCTTCTTCCTTTTTGGTAAGGTCCTGTATAATTTTCTCCAAATCTTCTTCAATTTCTACATTTTGCGTGAAATCATTGGGTAACTGTAAACCAACATTTACTTTACACCCAAAAAGTGTCTCATTAGGAGATTGCTTAATACCAGCGTGAAAAGCTCTGTTTTTCATGAGTTGCACAAATCTTAAACCCTTACTCCAATGTGAATTATTATTGTCTTGCATCCACGTGGTCAACATATTTTCAATATCCTGATTTGCTCTTTCCACACTCCCCTGACTTTGCGCATGCCTGGGTTATATGTTTTTAAATTCTCAATAATTCGGTTGGAAAATTCTCTGCCGTTATCAGAATGAAGTATTGCAGGAGCACCAAGTAGAGTAAATATATCCAATAAAGTGTGAGCCACTTCCTCAGCTCGTTTTGTTTTAAGTGGTTTTACAACAATAAATTTTGTTAAATGATCTTGATACACCATTATAAATTTGTTATCACCGTCGGGCTGAGGCTGAAAATTTATCAGATCCACTTGGCATCTAGAGTTAAACTCTGACGATATAATAGGCTTTACAACAATGCGTTTTTTGATGTTTTTTTGCTTTTGTTGACAGGGTTCACAAAGTTCAAGATAAGTTTCTATATCCTTACATGTTATGTTTTTGTAGTGACTCCCTACCTCTTTCATCATACGATCTCTTCCGCCGTGACCAATTTGAATATGTGCCTCGTGTAATATGTTGAATACCTCGGTATCACATGCGTAGTAAATAATAGTGCTTGTAGTGTCTTTAACAGGAAAAATAAGCTTACTTTTCTGGTCAATGGTAAGCACATCGTATCGCCGCAATAGCCAATAATCACGAGAAGTCTTTCTAGCTGTTATTTTTGCCGTGGAAAATTCTTCAATTAACTCTTTATAACGTTCATCTTCAATATAAGCAGTGTTCTTAGCATTTGTTAACGTTCTTAATGACGCTAAAGTACTAGAAAATCGCTCTTTCATAAGCGCGATGCGTGATTCGGTAGCCATTTTGAACAACAGCAACATGCGTACATACTGACAGTTAACTGTCAGTGTGTACGCATGTTGCTGTTGTTGCTGCGTTAACGCGGCACTAGCGAGATCGCCTGATCAGACAAAAGAATACCCTCCCCTCGCCCCGCTATCCCTGCATACTCATTGATATCTCAAATGTTTACATTTCCAACTACTATTTAGACAATGTATAGATTTCCTAGCAAATGTGTGTAATATAATTTATTTTACACATTTCCGTGCGATTTTAGGAATTACATATATTTCCTAGGAATTGTATACAATAACGGATTACATACATTTCCGGTAACATATGCACACACAATAGTGTATATACTGCGATATTTCGGTTGGAACGGAAAGAGCAAGTTTCGTCGTAGGCTGTGAGGCATTTAATCATAGTCATCAGGAGAACAACGAATCTGTGTCCATGGGCTTCATGTCCACTTATCATCAGGTTTACTGTTAGAGCGTTTAACTCTATTACAAAAAAATTGGTACCTACATACTACGCTTTAACAATAAAGCAAGTATTGCTTTATTGTTCTGAGTGCAAGTATTCTTCTTAGTCTGTGGTACACCTGCTGTATTATGGCGGCAGAACGAATTGGTTAGCACTGCGGGGAAAGGACCACATTCTTACGGATTACGAACGTAAATAACAGCGGACTGCTGCCGGCTGTCTATGGTAAGTGACGTGAATTGGATTTCTATGTCTTATAATGTGATGCCCGCCAGAACTGATGAAAATAATTTAAAATTAAAAATTTTGTACAGCCAACTTCAATATAAATTATTAAGAATAACTTAAAAACTATTCGTCTGCCCTTGATCAAATTCTTATGGGACCACATGAGAAGCACCAACTTTCAAATAAAAAAAAGAATCAACGAAATCGGTTCACTCAGTAAAAAGTTATGAGGTAATACACATAAAAAAAGTACATAAACATATTTTTGAAGTCAGCAGATAAAGCATTTGTCAAAAAAAAATGCATTAGAGCGATATGTGGGCTAAAGCCGAATGAATCGGGTCAACCGGTGTTTAAAAAACTTAGTTTGTTATCACTACCGTCACTTTATCTTTTTATCCATGAAGTATGCATGTTTGTACAGAAGCATAAAACGTTGTTTACAACGGTAGATGATGTAAATGCTCGTAGTCGCCGAGATCCATATAGGATTGTACTGAACGACAGTAAATATTGGTAACGAAGGGTTCTCTTCCCTTCTCATCTTTGGGTTTCAGAAGTGACAACGCATCTGTATTCTGATTCTTAATCGAGGATGAAAAGGTGTCAGTGGGTCACTGTATCCAATTATCATTAGGTGGACTGTGTGCTATTTGGTCATGAAAATTCATGAAGGGTAAGGTCTAGCGGCTGGTCCTCAGAGGTGGTTTCCTTGTTTGATATAGCTTGCGGGGTGGTTTGAACGTTAATGCATTTTTCCTGTGGCAGAAGTTCTATCATATCATGTTAGGTATATCATTTTAAACAAAAATTGAGTGTGGATTTTAATATTACTTGTTATTGTACCAAAAGTTTTTCATACTTGAAAATAAATTGAAAAATGAGCCTCTGGATTGTTATTTTGGCAGATTTGCAATTTCAGTTGTGGATCAGTTGTGGATCTCGCGGGCGCCGGCGGATAGTTGACACGGTGGATTATATGACACACAGTTGTATTTTCATTTACATTTACTATTTTTAGCCAAATAAGAAATAAAGTTATTTAATATATAAATAGAATATAAATTTCAAATCACGTTGACAAAGTGCGCACATAAATAATGTTAGCGTTTATTTTTAGTCACATTAAACAAAACTGGTGATAGATTATAGAAAACAACTCGCCAACCTCTCAAAATTCTCGCCCTTTTGCAGTCGACTAAAAAAGTTACTGGGGAATTGACCGTAAGGCCGCGTTCCGACGACACGCACCCGCTACGCGCAAGCCACGCGCGTCAGCACTCGCGTCTAACTCGCTTTGAAATTTGTTGCATATAATTTGAGTCTTATGACAAATCAATAAATCTGAAATTGTATAAAAAGCGCGTGTGCGGGGTGAGCGCGGCATCAGCGCGGAGCGGGAACAAGGCGGGCGCGTAGCGTGTGCGAGACGGGTACGGTTGAACGTCGATAAATGCAATTTCAGATTTATTGATTTGTCATAAGACTCAAATTATATGAAACAAATTTCAAAGCGAGTTAGACGCGGGTGCTGACGCGCGTGGCGTGTGCGTAGCGGGTGCGTGTCGTCGGAACGCTGCATCACTTAGTGCGCAATGTAATAGACCTTTACGTATGAAATGCCGTTCTGCAGAACTGGCCATTTCAAATCAAAGTAATTTATGTTTGGCTAAGAATTTTAATTTAAAATTTATTTTATTTTAAAAAGATGGAATTCTTTCTTCAAACTTAGTCATTTGTTTATTGATTAGCGTTATGTTTTCATGGATACGTCAAAACTTCGAGTAATTATGGAATAGGAGTACCGTCGTGGCAGTAACGCGGCACAAGCGACACGCAACATCAACGACGTTTACGGAGCGAATACCACAAACGAAGGCACCCCCTGTAATTGGTTTGCCCGCTTCCGTTTTGGAAATTTCGACCTGAAAAATGAACCCCGTGGTCGTCCGATAACTTTGGTCAACAATGACGAATTAAAGGCGATTGTGGAAGCTGATGATAATCAATCAACAGCTGAATTGGCAGCAGCTTTCGACGTTAAGATCAAAACAATATTGGTCCATTTACGTCAAATTGGCAAGGTAAAAAAGTTTGACAAGTGGGTGCCCCTCGAACTCAATGATCGTCACCGCGAAGTACGCGTCGAGATGTGCCTTGGACTGCACAACAGGCACACAAACGAAGGAATTTGGAACCGCATTGTTACCTGCGACGATAAATGGATTCTGTTTGACAATCGCAAGTACTCAGCAAGTAGGTTGGATCCTGGTTCAGCACCTAAACAGTGCCTAAACGAAAACTTACCTCTAGAAAAGTAATGATCACTGTTTGTTGATTTAGCGCCGGTGTGATTTGACATGTGTACTGTGAAGAACTGAACACAATGATGGAGAAGCTCGTACGTCTCCAATCAGCTTTGGTCAATCGCTCGTCACCACTGCTCCTGAACGTAAACGTGCAATCTCATACTGCACAATAGACGGTCTCCAAGTTACAAGAGTTGGGGTTGGAAGCTCTCCGTCATCCGCCGTACTCAAGAGACCTTGCGCTTACAGACTTACTTTTCCAGAATTTGAATAAGTTTTTGGCGGGAAAAAAATTCAATGCCCGAATTCCACAATTACAAAATTCCTTTGAAGATTTCTTCAAAAAAGGCATATATTTGCCTTTTGTTTATATAAACTGCCACTGCGTGGGCAAAGGTGTATCGATTGCATGGGTGATTACTTTGATTAATAGTAGAAATAATAAATATAGAAAAAAATTACGCTAACTTATTTCATAAAAAACGGCATGTACTTAAACACCTATTATTCCCAGTTTTTGTTTCTGATTCATTATTTCGGCCAGTGTTTGTGCTGGATTACTTCTGCATAAAACGGTTAAATAAAAAAAACAGGATTTGAATTTAGAATGGTACGTACGTGAGGGGCGCGGGCTGGCCGAGCGGCACGGGCAGCGCGCCGGCGCTGGCGGGCGGCACGTGCAGCGCGCAGCGCCGCCCGCACGGCGCCGCGTCGCGCGCGCGGAACAAGCTCTCCGCCTGGTAGCAGATCGACCACACGTGGCTGCACAGCGCCTCGTCTGCAACAACCACGGAACACATATATCTGGCCTTTATAATAAGACACGTTTTACTACTGGTTATGACTTACAATAGGCGTACTGTCTTATATCATTCTCTACCAGTCAACCCTGCGAGAAATTAAGTAAGTGTAAAGGTGTTAAAAATAACTATAACATAATAAATAAATATAATATATACGTGAACATACTAATATATATATATATATATATATATATATATATATATATAAAAATAAGTGATGTCCTCCACATCGAACTTGCAGGATAATTATAGTATATGCGTAAACACAGATCTCTATTCTCTCATTCTCATAATGCGATAGGACGGTAATCCGACATGGCCGGAGAGAGACCAGGTGCAAGAGCAAATACCGTCTTCACATTCTTTCCGAGCCTCGGAGTTGAAACACTGTCTTCTTCCTGACATTGGGCTGCTACGGAGAATTACTTGACAAAGAAATCCAATTACTCATTATGGCTGAATATAAACTAACGGGGCAGTAAATAAAAATATTATCTTTATATATTAAAATTACGTGTCACATTGTTTGTCCGCGATGAACTTCTAAACTACTGAACTGATTTCAATGAAATTTTGCACACTGTGTGCTGTTTGGTCCAACTTGAGAGATAGGACAGTTTTTATCCCGATAAGTAACCCTCAATTTTTTTATTGCTAATCTCAGGAGTTTTTTTAGGAAAGCAAATGGTCATCGGAATGGGCAGAACAACGTCTGCCTGGTCAGCTAGTATATTTATAAATAATAAAATATGTATAAATATGGATGTCAGTCATATTGACAGATCGCGCTAAAGAAGACGCAGTGTGGGACAACCCTTAGCTAAATAAAGCAACATTCTACGAAGATCCGGCTAAGTGGCACGCATTAGGAGAGACCATGTCCAGCTGTGGACTGCCTCAGGCTAATGATGATGACGGTGATAGTATTATGCGCGCAGAATTAAGACTAGAAAGTTCGGGAGGACAATAAAATATTGTTGTATTTCAACCAAATATTTCTTATAGGGATATATAGAGATAGTGCATTGCAAGCACTAGCAAGCAGTGCTGCAACATTCGGTGTATGTTTATACGGATAAATAATTGGTATCGAAACACTGCATTCCTTCACTGTAGCATTCGAGCCTGTGGTGGGTAGGTACAGGCCTCTGCGGGTTCGCCGCGACGTCTCAGTCTTCACATGTTCTTGAAATATTTTAATTTCTTAGACATGTACATTTCATGATGTCCACTTGCACCAGCATCTAATGAATTAACATGTAAAATTGCAAATAAAATATTGATTAGTGCCGGAGGGGTTTGAACTAGTCTGCTATAATATTATGAATGTTTAAGGACTATCTTCTGAACTACAACAAGCAGTAATTAGTTACAGCCCTTCACAAGTCCACTACTGAACATAGATCTCCCCCAAGCAAAGCTACGAAGCACGGTTCTGAGCAACTAGCATCTAACGATTTCCTGCATGCACCGTCCTACAATGCGAGTGGGTTTATACAAAAGATTAATTCTTTCTTAAAAAAAAAAAACTTACTTGGCGTATTTTCACAATACGGCTGGCTGCGGCCACCGTTAAGGCAGAAATCGGCGTGACCCAGTCGTGCCGCTTCTCCGTATCGACCGGCGTTTGTGTGCAGAACATGAACTGCACGAGCATCGCCGGGGTCGAGACGTAAAGCCGGCGCAGAGCGGATAAGAGGACGGGCTGGATCCAGTCCTGCAGGATTTTTTTAAATAAATACATTTTAGCTTTTATTACATAAAAAAGTGACAAACAAACTAGCCATCAAAAATAGCTATTTAACTCTCAGACATCTGCAACACATTCAGAAAAACTTCAAACTGTCTAACTCTCTCTCTCTCTCTCTCTCTCCCTCCCTCTCTATGTCTCTCGCCCTCCTTCTCTCTTCCCCCCCTCTCACTCTTTTTCATTCTATCCATGTTTTTTTTATTGAAACACAATAGTTGATGCACTGCTTATTAGCGGTTCTGCCTCGTTAATTACCTAGTTGGTCTAGTGGTTCTAAATGCGGCTGGTGATCATTAGATTCCGGGTTCGAATTCCGGGTTGGCCCAAAATCTCCGTCAAAAAATTCCGTCAAGTAATTCTCATTAGATACCCAGAGTCACAAAATTGGCAGTGGTTCAAGTGTCTCGGAAAGCACGTGAAGCTGTTGGTTCTGCGCATGATCTTTCTCCAGTAGTATGGAATTATCGTTTCACTGGACTATCATAGAGATAGAATAGAGAGATCAGGATCACAGTGCCCGAGTGTATACTCAGATGTCCTGTTCAGATGGCTCTGTATGTATGGGATTGACTGCGAAATGCGGTCAGGAGGATTTAATATTTAAAAAAGCTAATAATATAGTAAATTACATATTGTTAAACTGTTGGAGCGTAATGCGATCCATTACAGCATTCCTCCATATCGTTCTGTGAGCGTCCATAAATGTAATAAAAATTTCCAAAGCTAAACTTTACAAGGCTGTATTCGATACTAGAGCACTCGGTTCTCCTAAAGCCAGGCACCTGACGATAAATCCACTACCTTTCGGAAAAGTCTATCTCTTGTTGTGTTGTACTTGATTATAAGATATTTATTTATTTACACACACATACACTTAACAACTATCCTTACAGGCTAAACAAACCCACTACGATAGTGTCGCTAATCTACTTAAATATACTATGTATTACAACTAACTTACATAACTAACTATGTATAAAAGTACCTTAGCGAGTTCACTCAGATTTATTTTCTTTATTTTCTTTTATTTAAAAAATGTTACCCCCACACTAGGATTTTCTCCTGTATCGTGGAGGCAGTTTACAAACATAAATTGCACAAGGACAAACATACAGACCCGGAACAATTATTTGTAGGCCATACAAATACTTGTTCCGTGCGGGATTCGAACCCGCGGCCCCCAGCGCAACAACTGATTGCTAAGCCACTACGCCACGGAGCCGTCAAATTATATAATTAAATATTACTCGAAAATATATCAATCCTCTGATGAACTTTGTTCACTACGAGGATTGTTCGGACTAGATGTGAGTTACTAAGCAAATTGGTCTTGGCCATGGGCAGCGCGAACAATAAAATAATGTTTAATTAACTACAACAATGTTGAGCGTCTGAAGTGTCATATTTTTGGCATACACTTTAATATAGTTATGATGACTACATTTTTAGATATTCATCATCATCATCATCATCATTACAGCCCTTCATAAGTCCACTGCTGAACATAGGCCTCCCCTAAGGAATGCCACAAAGCACGGTCCTGAGCCACCTGCATCCATCGCCTTCCTGCATGTCTTACCAGGTCGTCACTCCATCTAGTGGGGGGACGCCCTACACTTCGCCTACCGGTACGAGGCCGCCACTCGAGAACCTTTCTTCCCCATCGGTTGTCGATTCTTCGAGCTATATGGCCGGCCCACTGCCAATTCAGCTTACTAATCCGTTGGGCTATGTCGGTTACTCTGGTTCTACTGCGGATATCCTCATTTCTAAGTTTATCACGCAGAGAAACCCCGAGCATAGCCCTCTCCATAGCACGCTGAGCGACCTTGAGCTTCCTCATACGACCAGCAGTGAAGGACCACGTCTCAGATCCGTAAGTCATCACTGGCAACACGTACTGGTTGTTCAATTTCGTTTTCAGATTTTGAGGTATGTCTAGCGAGAAGAAGTGTCGTAGTTTCCCGAACGCTGCCCAGCCGAGTTGAATCCGTCCATTGACCTGTCGGTCGAAGTTGGACTTACCTAGTAAATTTTAATGTTCTTTCAAGAAAAAAAAAATTTTTTAAAAAACGTTACCCCATACCAATAATCCTGTTAAGTCTGAAGGTTAGATAGTTGGCGATGATGCCGCACAGGTGCGCGCCGAGTGAATGCCCCACACAAGTGAGTCGGTCAGGTCGCAGGCCGGCCTGGCGGAGCGTGGCCAGAGCTTCTGCTGCACAGCGAGCTACGGGACGCAGGTTGTGTACTGCAGCGACGTAGCACGGCGGCTGACAAAGCGCCCCCCAGTCCAGCATGAACACGTTGTAGCCACCGCGGCGAAGGTATGCTGGAAAATAGGAAAATACAGGTTTTATTTAACAACATCCACTTTCTCTCGTTTGATTTAGAGATTTACATCCGTATATTTTGATAATATTTATAATTTATATCAAAATATACGAATTCATTTATTTATTTTTTAAGGGATGGAAAGCCTAATAATTGCGTATTTCATCGTAGTGTTGAATCGGTTTATATGCATGTGTCAAAAGTGAAATTATACTCTGAAGACACCCACGTTGTAATGAGTCAGAAAGACCGACGCTAGCGCACTATTCCACTCCTTTACTTCGTCTTCGTCGTTGATAATAATATGTACTACCAACTACGAAGCAAATCTTTTAGTTCTGACGCGTGGAATGTTGACAAAAAAGGATGTTAGACGCGTGCAGTGTCTGGTTTTCTGATTGTGGAAGCAGGTGGGATAAATAAAATCTTGTAATTCCTACGCACACTCTATGTGTATAAAGTTCTGAAAGCCGTATAATGCAATAAACAGGAAAAAAGGCGCATTAGTACTTTTTCCACGTTCAAGAACAACGTGCATGTTTCTCTCAAGTCTCGGCGTAATCTTATGCAATGGAACATATTTCCTGCTTCTATAACTAGCACCTATATGCATTATGTGTATCAAAGAGTTTATAATTACTACGTGATAAGAGTTACGAGTAATACGCGAAAGTTGTCAAGGAACTGTTACTGTCAGAATGTTTTAATTTGCTTTATTCTATGCTAAGAATTATTAGAAATTATTCTATACCTCAAAACCTGAAAACGAAGTTGTATAACCAGTGCGTGTTGCCAGTGATGACTTACGGAACTGAGACGTGGTCCTTCACTGCTGGCCGTATGAGGAAGCTCAAGGTCGCTCAGCGAGCTATGGAGAGGGCTATGCTCGGAGTTTCTCTGCGTGATAAACTTAGGAATGAGGATATCCGCAGTAGAACCAGAGTAACCGACATAGCCCAACGGATTAGTAAGCTAAAGTGGCAGTGGGCCGGCCATATAGCTCGAAGAACCGACAACCGATGGGGAAGAAAGGTTCTCGAGTAGCAGCCTCATACCGGTAGGCGAAATGTAGGGCGTCCCCCCACGAGATGGAGTGACGACCTGGTAAGACATGCAGGAAGTCGATGGATGCAGGTGGCTCAGGACCGTGCTTTGTGGCATTCTTTGGGGAAGGCCTATGTTCAGCAGTGGACTTGTGAAGGGCTGTAATGATGATGATGATGATTATGATGCTAAGAGTAAGTACTTGCTCTATAAGTAGGAATACTTGCTCTAAAATTTTAAAAATTAACGTCTAGTAAATCATAATGATGAATGATCCATTTGCCTAACACTGCATATAGAGTTACCAAATGGTCGATTGATTCTTCTGGATTCTCTTGAAATTTCATATGTCCTCTGACAAACTAGGCGTAGGACCACGTTATCACAGAATATCAGCGTTAACGCTGCTTTGTTTCGTGTGGTGAGCGTAGAGAACCGGATACCATTTTTACAGGAAACGAGGCATTCCATCTTAGTCCTCACGGGTGACAACGCATCTGCATTTTGATTCATTATTGAGGATAAAAGTAGATGTCTATGGGCCACAGCATGCACTTACTATCAGGTGGACTGTGTGCTCGTTTGTCACCCTATTCTATATTAAAAAAAACTATGTCTTAGCACCGAATTCAAAAGTTAGTTTATATATCTGATCTTACTTTCTTAAAGTTTGATTATTTGACCCTTATGATTGCACTAACCAATATCAATTCAAGGTAACAACTAAAAGGTCGTCTAAATAATTGCATTAAAATTTTCTACGGTAAGGGGCGGATTTTATTAAATTTAATTGGAACCTCCATTGAGGCCTTGCCGATTTAATAAAAAAGAATAATTAAAATCGGAGATATCTCGTAACATACATACAAAAAACGTTAAATACAATGAGTAGGTACCTCTTATTTTTGAATTCTTTTTACTTTTGTTTTTGAAACTTAGAACTTACTTTTTTGAAAATTAGACTAATAATAATAATGTCCTCCAGACCGAATTTCGGTCACGGCGGCCAGACTCAACGGAGACTAGCCAATTACACAGGACAGAATTATAGTGCCCCAGTGTATGCGCAAGCACAGGTGCACTCTCTATTCCATCGCTCTCATATTCCGATGGGACGGTAAGCGCAGAACCAACGGCTTTACGTGCTTTCCGAGCGAGGCACGGGGGTAAGACATTGACAACTTCCTGACTCTGGGCAGCTACTGAGAGTTTTTTGATAATAATGCCGAGTAATAATGCCGAGTCTTTTAAATAGTTTATCGATTTTGAAATTATGAAGTTAAATTTGTTATCTGCAAACCTAAAATTACTACAATTTGGTATTTTATGTACAGTTTTTCGATTTGTCAAACTGGCAGCCCTAACTGTGAATACCGTTGCTATATATGTGTTGCAAAAGCTTTATATCTATCATAGTGCAGCAAGTCCTGTAATTAATTTTATTAAACAAACATGGGGTTTTGCTTACGGTGTTTATCGCCGAGTACGTGTCAGTCAACACTTAATATCTTAACTAACAATTTCTGTAGCGGCGGTGTCATGGTCCTAAATCTGTACATCTTTACTCCTATAAATAAAATTGATGTGTTTGCCTGTCTGCCTGTCTGTATTAATGACAATTCATGAACAGATAGAGAGCAATGCCACGATTTAAGCTATATTTTATCTGAAAAACATAGATATTATTTGACAAAACTAAAAATTTTTGAAATAAATCGACTTTGATTATCTTTAATATAAAATAGCACCACATTAATAGATCCTAACCAGACGAAATCAGAGGGGGTCGCTAATTATACTATAAGGTTTTAAGTCAGGGGCTTGGATCCCTAAGTTTTCTTTATGCTATTTACTAAAGCCTCCGACAGTATTTGAGGGTTGTTAACGTGGCTAAAAATCTATCATAGATAATATATCAAACTCGAAAAACAACGATTCCTACCAAGGATGATACGTGAGGCTATTGAAATTATAAAACATTCTAATTTTAATAGAGAAGGAGGCTGGTTACGACCACCTGCTTGGGATTCTGTAATTAATAAAATTAAAACTAATCTTAAGCATACCACTGCAAGAACTCAAGGCACAGTAAGTTCATTCTGCGTACATCGGACCAAAAGTAATAATTAAAAAGCTGAAGGTATTCCGGGTTAATTTTGACATCGGGACATCAATCACCTCAGTCCCCCCGCACAGAGTCCATTGTATACACACAACGTCCACCGTGACGATGGGTGCTGAAAAGCACCGAAACGTCGGAAATTAAAAATAAGTAAAACTATGAAATCTGTTAAACAGTTTTATGCAATATTATTATCATGTTTCTACGTCACTATAATATCAAATAACGCATAGATGACAAATGTAATTAGAAAAAATTCTCCGTTTACGAAACAAAAGCGGTTTCGGGTTATATTATAGTGTAACTATGTTTTACAAATGACAATTTAATCTCAGTATTGTAACAAGTGACGGTAGAAATTGGAGCACCATTGTTCTAAAGCTTGTAACACTATGCCGCTTTGAACAAAAAATTTGCCAGTCTTTTGAAAGAATGACGATATATATCTTATAAAAGTAGTACACCCAAGAACGTTTTAATGTAAGTAATATGATCTACGACTATACGGATGTTTTTTTTTATAGAATAAGGGTGACAAACGAGCACACAGTCCACCTGATGGTAAGTGGTTGCTTTGACCCATAGACATCTACATTTGTCTTCAATAAAGAATCAAAATGTAGATGCGTCGTCACCCGTGAGGACTAAGTTGGAATGCCTCTTTTCCAGTAAAAAGGGTCTCCGGTTCTCTACACTCACTATACGAAACACAGCAGCAATAAGCTGCTATTTTACGCTGGTTTTCTGTGCGAGCGTCGTCCTTCCCCGGTCGAGCCGACCCATTCATGCTACAACCATACTATTAATATAGCTGCAGCAAGGCTCTACCACGTTTAAAAAAATGTTATTTTTAATTTACTTTTGAATCAAATGGTATGTCTAAATGAATCTCTATTTGAAGTACATTCTTTTTTATTCCGATATTTTTAATTTTTAAACAATGGTGCGGAAATATGAACTATAAGTCATTGCCCTCAAACAAACAGAGAAAGTTGTGAGAAATGCGTAAAGTGCATACATAGTGCGTCTTGCAATGGCGTTTCATCGCCAGGATCACTTTCACTGTCCTTGTAAGGCGACAAGAAGCAAGCGTGGACGTTATGTCTAATTAACACACATGTAATATTTATAATACAAGTAACTTTTAAACCATATAAATGAATAAAATACATTAATTATCTTCTGCTATTTCTTGTACATTAGCCCGTAAATATCACCTGTTGGACAGGGGCCTCTTCTGTCATATCGAAAACAAAGTACCAGTCTGTTTTGATACTGCAGTCTGTGGCCGATCTGGGTATTTTACTCCTAGCGTATTCGAGGTGGTCATCTATCGAATGCCATAAGATCTTTCTCGCATATTCAATAATCACATCTTACGACATCCAGGGTACGAAATTTAATGGGGTGATGCAGTCGCTTACGCAGTAATGAAAATATTATTTACCGTTACCGTTACCTAACCCATAGATTGGCTCAGGGGGATATATATATATATGCCATAGTTACCACGCTCGGCAGCCGGTTTGGTAACTGTAGTCTTTTATTTTATTTCCTTCTGTAGGCTCTTACGACACGCACGGAACGATATGGGGTAGTGGATATTGTTACAACGCCACTACACGTACACGGTACTAACGTGTAGTGGCTTTTGTACGTGGTAGAGCCATACTGCAGCTATATTTAGTAGTATAGTTGTAGCATGAATGGGTCAGCTCGACCGGGGAAGGACCACGCTCTCACAGAATACCAGCGTAAAATAGCAGCTTAAAACTGCTGTGTTTCGTATGGTGAGTGTAGAGAACCGGAGACCCTTTGTACTAGAAAAGAGGCATTCCATCTTAGTCCTCACGGGTGACAACGCATCTGCATTTTGATTCGCAAGCGAGGATAGATCTAGATGTCTATGGGCCACAGCAACCACTTACCATCAGGTGGACTGTGTGCTCGTTTGTCACACTATCCTATAAAAAAAAACTTACACTAAGACGGTTCTTACTTACGGTAACATTATTTTATTTTTTACAATATATTTTGAAATTGAAATACCTACATTTATAAACTTACGATTATTTATTTCGAAGAAGCTTGCCTTTTTCTATACGAAAGATTTAATTCAATTTCCCTGTCAAGTGATTACGAAAAATCCTTCATATTTATGGAGGTCGGTGGTCGGCTATGGACTGTTTACAACATGGTGAAATGATACAAATTGCACATGTGTGATGTGCAATTCATTTCATGTGCAATGTAAGGGGTCCATAACATTACGGAGTTGACTATTATCGTTTTTTAGTTTTGTTTCAAGCATTACATTATTAAAAACTGTAACACATCGTGGTAGAAACAAGCTGCAATTATATTATGGTTGCATTGCGAATAGGTCGGCTCGACCGAGAAATTACCACTCTTTCACAGAATACCAGTGTGAAATAGAATCTTAATTCTGTTGTGTTTCGTATGGTGAGTGCAGAGAACTGGTGACCCTTTTTACTGGAAATTATGCATTCCATCTTAGTCCTCAGGAGTGACAGCGCATTCTGCATGTTGATTCTTAATTGAGGATAGATGTTGATGTTTATGGGTTATAGCATTAATTTACCATGAGGTGGACTGCGTGCTCGTTTCCACCTTTATTCTATAGAAATACCTGTGTAATAATTATGTAGAGCTACGAAGCTGCATGTATTTTGTCCCTGTAAAAGAGTTCAACGACTTAGGTGTTTTCCGCGATTCTATACATAGTGTTGTAGTAGTTTTTAATTAATAAAGGTGTAATATTGTAAAAGTAAAGAGAGACTACCGTCACAATTAGACTAGGCTTAGTAACGGTTTATTTCTTTTTCTTACTTTTACAGACAAAGGAAGCTGGGGGAATATTAAAATCTTACGTAAAGTAAAAAACTATAAAGCAATAAAAATATTTTTTTAAAACAATATTTATAAAGTAAATTAATAATACTATTTTATTATGGTATACGAATTTCTTTTCACATTTCTTACCAAAAATAAATAAATGAGTTTACTGAGAATTGACTTTACTACACTACTAACTATAGAGGTTTTTTTTAATATACCGATGTTCAATTCGTGGAATTCCTGGACACTGTTCACTGACTGTTTTATTTCTTAGTTTAGATTTAAAAAATATTATTTTTTAATTTTAAAAGTAATAATTAAATTAATATTATTCAATTTTAAAGTGTGAATAAGTAGAACGAAGATGACAGTAACCCATTCTGAAATTCCTTAAATTGGTTGGATTTGAAGCCTGAATTGTGAAGATGAGCTACTAATTGTTAATGATGTAGAAACTTGGATATGGAGCCCGTGCACAATAAATGATTCTTAATTATTTTATTTTATTAAAACACTAATATTTTAATTGTAACAATAATTAAGTCTTTTTAATTTTCACTTTGATATTTAATAAAAATTTTGAAAAAATTCTTACGTCTTATCGTTTAAGGGAAGGGGGAATTCGCAATTTTTTTTTATTTTCGCTTATACAGGAGGGATAGTTTCTTTTATACCTTTTCTACATTAATAACTATTACGATAAATTTTATCTCGATATTTATTCCAATTTTTTTTTCTATAAAGATACTATTATTGAACTATGATACTATAATAATTTACTTTTATATAAAGAAGTAAAAATATACTTACTGAAATAAAAGTCAAAGAAAAAAAACATGCAGACGTTTGACCAATGGGTTTGAAATATTGCATTGTGCGAAAATGATGACAGGTGTTAACTTTAAACTTCGCAAAATAAAGTATTACTACGTTATGAGTGTTTACTACTAATAATTAGGTTAGGAGACTTCTTGTGACGCGATACATATGTTCAGCATTTCATTCATTCATTTATTCATTCATCATTATCATCATTCAGCCTTAATAGCCAAATATATATTAAAATAATAAAGGAATACTAGCTTTTCCAGCGTCTTTGCTCGCGTGGACTTCGCCTTACTAACGTCATTAGTGTTCTTCAGATCTTCTGATGAACAGATAAACAGCCACCCAAAGATAATACCAACCATTTTGCATAACGTACATAATATGTATGTATCAATAGATTCAAGTAAAACTACTCTATAACGTTTTTGAAATATGAGACGAGTGCTTTACTCATAAAATGTCTGCTATAAGAATTTATTACATAAGAAATTTATAGCTGAATGTACAATTCTTGAATGCAATATATCATTTGTATCTGTCTAACGCGAGTTTTTTTTAAAAATAAATAAGATTGACAAACGAGCACCGAATCCACCTGATGGTGAGTAGATGTCGTGGCCTATAGACATATACATCTAGCACCAAATAAGGATCATGATGTAGATACGTTATCACCCCTGAACACTAAGATGGAATGCCTCGTTTCCAGTAAACGTAGTTAAGAGTTGTAGTTCAATTTATATAGAATGTCACTAGTTATGTTATTAATCAAATATACGTAAGTTTACTGAAGCTGGAATTTAATTAATGCAGTATTTTATTCGGTAAAAGCACGTTGTAATTTTCATATTGTTAATTTGAAATAATTACCTCAATATAGTGGCCCAGAGGGTAGTGACGTCGTTTATTAAACATTTTACATTTAACCATCATCATTTTTTTAAATGTAGGCGGGATTTGAACCTGCGATCTCGCAGCACCGCAACAAAATACTTGAACTCTGTGCTACTGAGCCGTCATGTTTAGTAGCGTAGGCATATTTGTAAATATTGAGAGACAATTATGAACCGGCGTCGAGAATACACATAAACATAAAGTGTAAAACGAGAACATTGAGATCTAATCTAACGCTTTGTAAATGCAAGGAAATATTAAAAATGTTTAGTGGACTAACGAATATCACAAGCTAGAGGTAATATAATAATAATAACAAATATAATAATAACAAGCCCCCTAAAATCCAACCACACGTCCAGATCGACCATCAGATCACCTGGGGGGCGGACACACGATGAGAAATTTCTGGCGTGGCTAATATAGTATATTATCTATGGTGGCTAACGTGGCCTTGGTAACCCATTAAAAATGGGGACCAGATCAAAAAGTAAATTGAGAGGGCCGCTTCCCAGGGGCGATCGCCAGGGCACACCTGGAGCTGACGCTGGGTGTTTCAGCAGACGATCCGTCAGCGGTGAGGAGTTGAGCAGGCGGGCTCCCACCGGGGATTCACAACCCGAAAATGCTACAGCCGACAACGCTGGACTGGACGGAAACACGGAAAATAGAAGCAATAGCCCATATGAACCTTTTAGCCCGAGTACCGCATCATACAATCCCTCCGTACTGTCATCAGTCATCACCATCCTCCTCGGGTAATAGGCATTCATCAACGCCGGCGCTGGATGAAGCCCAGGAGGCAAATGCCTTTTTACCCGCGTCCATTAAGGCCGGTTAAACTAGGGTGCAGAAGAAATGGTGTAACGAAGTAAACCTATTTATCATGAGCACCTAACACTACGTAACAAAGCTAGAGGCCGATCTTACCATATATAGGAAAAAACTGCACGAATGTTTCTTACTAAAATATACAGATGTATATATATAACAAAGAATTTCTGAAATACTTGCAGGATAGTGAGAATGTTCCTGCAGTTGGAGGAAAATGAAATAGTTCAAAGTCCCACAATCCCTACATCTACAACAAACACACACCACACACTGTAATTTACTTGGCTAAAAGCCCGTAGTTACAGTTATTACCAACTTTTGCAAAAAGGTTAAGGAAATTTAAACTTTTACCATAATAATAAATAATAACTAGAATGTCGTGTAAATAGGTACATTTAAAACTTCATCCCAATGAATATAATTTTTAACAAAAGAAAGTGTTGATAAAAGCACAGTAAAAATAATTATATATTATTAATAATTACATTATTAGCCTATAACATTGACGTCATTTAGATTTATTTGAAATAATCATTAATGACTATTTATTTTATCAATTTTTATTTATTTTATTTATTTATACAATTTACTGTATTAAAGGTACAAACGGCGAACTTAATGCCATATGGCATTTTCTATCAGCCAACCAGAAAGTTAGTGAGAGATGTGTGTACTGCAGTGGGATAGGATGAAAACCTAAAATTGATAAATTTCACACATACACATACATACACAAACACACATACAATTTTTCGCATTTCACAATTAAATTCTCCAAGTTTTCCGGATAAAATATATAAATAATATATAATAAATATATGGCTCAGCCATTCCGAAGATTAGCTCGGACAGACGGAAAACATCTTGCTTACAAACGGTTTTGGAATAAAGTTCCTTATCGGAAGGTACGGCTTTGGCGGATGGGAGCTAGGCGACAAAAAGTGTAAGATTTTTTCGTCACTACCCCTTGTGTCATAGTGTAGACGGCCTTGGCGGCGAAATAAAGAAGTGAGATGGAATAATATCCATCTCCCTCGCACTTTTTCTTATCATGCCATGAAAGAAATATTATTTTATTTCAAATGACGCTTCATTTTAACAGACGCTAGTAATTCATTTATTTGTATTTGTTAATCAATAATATAATACCTACGTTTATCAATAATAATATACTACGCAAGGAACTTCGTACCAACTAAGTGTTCCACAACACTCACGTACTTTTATTTATATCTTAATGGCTTTCAAATAACCCCTTAAGCTCGATTTTAATATTACAGACAGACACATAAATTTTATTTATAAGTAGATTTACACATAAGTTATTTCACAACTACTTATAACCATTTACTCTTTAAAAAACTTACCGTCTCTAAGTACAATGATAGGCAGAGTGTCGTCGCCACCCGCGTAACCATGAATCAGGAGAATTGTCTCATGCGAGGGCTCCCAGCCACTTTGACGCAGCCAGTCTTCGCTGTAGAGGTCTACCTAGATACAATAATTATACACTTTAATTAAACAATTGAAAAAGCTAATTGAACATGCGATGTTAGTTTTTAAAAAAGACATCACGTCATATCGTTGTGATATAGTAAGCCACGCTGCAACTATATCAAGTTTGCAACATGAATGAGCCAGAGGAATAACCACTCTCTCACAGAATACCAGCGTAAAAAACAGATTATTGCGTTTCGTATATCGTGAGTGTTTTTCAGAACCGGAAACACTTCTTACTAGTAACGAGGCACTCTAGCTTAGTCCTCAGGGGTGACAACGCATCTACAGAAACATACTATAGACTATGAATAATACTTATTGAAAGTTTGGAAAATACCTCTGTTCTGGGAAAAAACCAATAAGAAACCCAGCGCATTTTTATGAAAAAAAAAAACAATATCAGTTTTCAATCATATATATTACACAATTAACAACATAAAATAAATTAGAAATAGATTGGTTCTTAATCGAGTATACATGTAGGTGTCGTTAGTTAGGAATATCCTATAGGTGAATGCACCAATATCTACACTGGCTAAGTAGGAATAACTTCCTGGGTCTGTTACAAAACCAGTGTCATTCTGAAAGAATGAGTCCAAAAATATCTGAATTCGAGATTTTTCAAACATTTAAAAATTCATAAATCCGAAAATATCTACTTCATCGTAAAAAGTCATAGGACCTTTTATTATTCATAATTTATCAAAAAATATTTTATTATTTTTCTTTATTTAGTTTAAATGGGTCAAAAGTATCCGAATTTGAAATTTATCAAACTTAAAAATTCATAACTCCAAAACTATTAAATTTAAAAAGTCATAGGATCTTTTTAAATTAGTATTTCATTTCATTAAAGAGTATAAAAAAAGGTTGTCCCGTTTGAAAATAACAATTCCTTGCAATTGAAAAAAAAATTGGCTTAAACAATACGGCACCAAGTTGCCCCATGGCAACATGCATTTATATCATCAGTAGGACAATTTTAAGAGAAGCGCATAAAAAAATTGAGGCGGAATAGTTTTCAGTAAGTTAGTTTAAAATGTTTAAAATTGATTGAAATATGTATATTGAACAAACAAACTAACAGATAAGGCAATGATTTTATATAACATTGTCATCCAATTTGAAGCTATTCCTAATACAAGTTTAAAATCAGTTGCAAAATTTGTACAGAACAGACAAAAATGCGATTTAATAAAAATGTGGTAAAAATCTAAAATACTTTTACATATTCCACATAAACTCACGTTTATTGCATAAGCCGGTAGGTAACACGTTGCCCGCATTTGTATAGTGTCGTCAAAATATGCATGCCTCCATATGCGGATGCATTCCGGCACCATTTGTCGAACAGCATTTGTTTAGAAATTCGTGCATTCATTCAACGTTTATGTTAGCCAATTATGATGGCAAAGCCTTATAATTGGTCATCATTTTATTCAAGGTTTTGTATTGTGCTTATAACTTTTTTTCAACATCATTTTAGATGTTGCTTACTTATACTTTGACGATATTATAATTTTTTTTTATATAATTGGGTATTCACATAATATGATAAAGAATTGCATAAGTCATTCATCAAAACATGTGTTCAATTTCGGAGGGGATAGTAGAAAGAGTGTAGCTCTATCACGTACTTATCTATTCAATTGTTTAATTATAGTCTATATTTTATTGGAAGCAATGTGTTTCCTTTTAGTCCTCAGGTTTGAAAAAGCATCTGCATTTTGACACTTTATCGGGGATATATTATGTAGGCCTATAGCATCCATTTACTATCTTCTTGTTCTTTAATCACCCCTACTAATAAATAAATACGCTTTTGCATTATTGAAATACTTATTTAATATTAGATAAATTGTTAATTTTATATTATAACTGCTACAAGACTGATTTCAAGGCACTTTCTCGTGCCTTCATGAATGGAAGCCGATTTTACATAGTATTTAACACGTTGGGCCCAAGGTCATCCACACGGGACATTTGTATGACGTTGTAAATCGTATCAATAGCGACCGAAGCAGGTAGCTGTAGAAAACAATGAATGAATGATTGAATGAATTTCAAATAAAGGAGATCTATGAAGAATAATAACGGCATTTTGTCACATTTTTGTTACTTTAAATAAGCTATTAATAAAGCGAAGGTATATCAAAATGAATACAAAATATTTAAAAATGTATAGGAGCAGTGGTAGTTCAGGGGATATTCACTTGTCTTGAACTTAAATAGTACGCAGACAAACAATTAGATTCCCGCATGCACATTGTTAGTTGCAATTTAAGTGCTGTTTTACTACTGAAGGAACCATCTTGGTAAAACCCCCACAAATCTTAGAACTTATAAATATTTTGGGGACATGTGTAGTAAGTTTCCCGTTTCAAAAAATCCCATAAAGTCAGAGAAGGCCTATATTTAGCAGTTGTGTTTCTTAACTTTATTTTATTTTATTTTAAAAGTAAAGGTTAGAAACGAGCACATCGTCCACCTGATGGTAAGTGGATGCTTTAGACACCTTTATCTATTTTGTATTTTTATAACAATAGTTATGTTACTGTTCATTTGTGGTTTAAGAAACTGTCAGTTTTGTTAGGCGAAAAAGAAAGTTTTGTCTTGTAGAAATCGATAGAAAAACTGTTTTGTATTCTTTGGAGGAGAGTGTAACGGACGCGCGTACGTTGCAATGCCATAGCTCGAGGACCTTTTAGCTTTTAGGCCGTGTACTGTATTAGTTCCCTGATTATGTGAACTAGTTCATTTTAAGCGTACCAGCATACCATGACTACATTATATGTTTTAGTGTCATCAGATATATATAATTGATGTGTGAAACTTTTATCTCCTTATTAAATGTTATTGAAATTATTTTAAGAGACTACTAGTTCTAAGATGTCCTATTTTAGAAAACGAAAAACTTAGTGAGGTTTGAAGAAAAAAGGATTTTACAAGACAAAATTACTTGTGTAAAGGCCACATAATATTCTCATGTACACACATTCTCATGCAGTCAAAACAAAAACAAAGTAGTTATAGCTGTATGTTCACTTTTGATAGTAGTACCTTTGAAAGTAATAGTAATTTGGTATAAAGTTTACAAAAATACAGTAACACAAAATAGCAATGTTAAAATGGATCTAAAAAAATGTATAGTTTTAGGTAAACATTCAAACGGAACCATTTATCTTAAAACGCAATTAAAATGTACTTATCTATACAAATAAATAAAATTGGAGTGTCTGTTTGTAACGTCAAAATAACAGCTTTTCACTAAATGCATATGAAAGTATACTTATAACAAAAACACAATTTTTATAATTTTTGTCTGTCTATCTGTCCACTGTTTGTTCCGGCTGATCTCCGAAGTGGCTGGACCGATTTTGACGGGACTTTCACTGGCAGATAGCTGATGTTATAAGGAGTAATTTAGGCAAATTTTATTTTAGAAAAAAAATTAGGGTTCCGCGCAAAAAAAATAAAAACCTAAATTACACGCGGGCGAAGTCGCGGGGAACAGCTAGTTTAAAATATTTATATTAAAACGCAAGAAAGTTGGAAGTACAATAGGCGCTTTTCTACTTTATTAACAGAAAACATACGTCATAAATAATATGCAGTTGTACTACCTTTTACATCAGTGATTCATGCGAATAATTTTCTAAATAAAATACGAGTAGCTACTCGTATCTAACTTCTTAATCAACCTTTGCAATCAACTGCTATATTATATAGGACTGGTAAAAGTATGCACAAAAGGACTCATTTCTTTAAAAATTCACGCATACTTATGACGCTGGAGACTGGGGTTGATGAGAACAGAGCCTCGCAGTGGCAGTAAAACTGTTCTCTACCTTCAGTCTGTGGGACTAGGGTTAAGTGAAGCCTAATGGATTTTTCGCCATCAACCAATTAACAAAGCCTCGTTCGTTACTTAACAAAAACTACGTGCGTGTAGTTGGTGTAGGTGAGGTTGCCATTTGAAGAAAATGACGGCAGGTACCCATGATACAGTTTATTATTTTTAAATTCAAGTGACAAACGAACTTACAGTAAACCTTTTATTTATAGAATAAGGATGATAAACGAGCACACACCACCTGATGGTGAGTAGATGCTGTTGTCTGTAGACATCAACATTTATCCTCGATTAATTCAAAATGCAGATGCGTTGTCACCCCTGAGGACTAAGGCGGAATTCCTCGTATCCTCTAAAAAGGGTCTCTACACTCACCATATGAAACACAGCTGCTATTTTGCGCTGGTGTTCTATGAGAGCGTAGTCCTTCCCCGGCCAAGGCGACCGTGCTACAACCATAATATTATAACTGACACATTACAACCATAATATATAAAAAGACTGATAAATGTGAAAAAGGGGTGCAAAACATATTATTTATTAAGTACCTGTTATTATAATAAAGTTTTGTTTTTAATGATTTAATTTGAGAGAAATGAACCTGAGCCGTGGTATTTATGTAAAAGTTATTTATCATTCAACTTCAATGAATGTATTATAATTCCTAATTATACAATATAACTCTTCGATATTTAAAACGACATTTACGCAATTATTTTGTCTGCTTATAGTGTTTAGTTGCTTATAAAATATGGTTAAAGTTATATGTTATACATATACTAAAGGAATATTACACCATATATTTTTTCATTTATATGCACAAATGAGCACACATTCCACCTGATAGTAAATGGTGGTTGTAGCTCATAAACGCCTACAACTATGTACATTCTTAATTACAATCAACATGAAGATGCGTTGTCACGCCTAAGAATTAAGATGATATTTCTCGTTATCAGTGAAAAGGTGTCTCCGGTTCTCAAATATCAACGTAATGAAAAACAGTACCATTATTTTGATATCTAACTCTGGTATTCTGTGCAAGCGTGGTCCTTCTCTGGTCACCGATCGAGACGACCCAATCCCGCTGCAGCCATAATACAGCTGTAACGCTGCTCTACCACAAAAATGAATAATAAAATGAAGCGCAAAATTTATTAACAGATATATCATCATCATCAATATAATCCTTCAAGTATTACCTAAGAAGTTCAGCCATCATACCCCAAAGTATGCGACAAAACATGGTCGTGAGCCACCTTATTTCATCGACTTCCTACATGTCTTAAATTATGTATAAATTTGTAAATAAAATGTACTTAGTATTAAAATAAATTAAAACAACAGCACTTTAACAATTAATACTTGCAAGAACAGTTCTATACATAAAACTAGGTATGAAACTCGACAGAAATAATAGATCAATGAAATTATATAATAGCCAAGTGACAAGTAAATAAAAGTAAATGTAAAAAGAATCCGTTGATCACGTCATAATCCCACTTAAGAGAAATCTATCTCCTGCGTAAATTATTTGGACTATTAATGAGATTACTAGTAATGATTAAGTAAATTTGAGCTTCTATTGTCAGAGCATTCTTAGCTCAGGGATAACGAGACTCGTTATGTAATTTTTAATTGCGATTTTAATTTTTAATTTGCGAAGTCACTGCGCTTCCGACCATTTCGGTTAAGCTAGGAAGAGGGAAGTCTCATGTGTTTGAGTGTACATTTGGGACATTTTATTATAATACCTACCCTGAACTGTTGAGAGCGTCGTTCAGGACATAATTAGTATAACATAAAAATAAAAATAAATTCATTCATTAATTTATTCATTACAGTCTATCAAAAGTCCATGCTGAACATAGGCCTTTCCTAAAGATTGCCTACAGAGGTGTTCTTGGCCATAGTTGCCACGTTTGGCAGACGGATAGCAAGCGCAGTTTTTTTTTATAGGATAAGGATGACAAACGAGCACACAGTTTACCTGATGGTAAGTGGTTGCTGTGGTCCATAGACATCTACATTTATCCTCGTTTGCGAATCAAAATGCAGATGCCTTGTCACCCGTGAGGACTAAGATGAAATGCCTCTTTTCCAGTAAACAGGGTCTCCGGTTCCCTACACTCACCATACGAAACACAGCTGCTACATATATTTGACGCAGGTATTCTGTGAGAAAGTGGTCCTCCCCGGTCGAGCCAACCCATTCGTGCTACAACTATACTACTAATATAGTTGCAGCATGGCTCTACCACGTATAAAAACGTATTTTGAGCTACTGTATGAAAGATGCTGCAGATGATGCTGATCTCCTTTTTCACTTCCCTCTGTCGCCTCTAAGACAGCCACGAAAAGATATAGGGTAGTAGTAGTAGTGTGGTATTAGAGGTAAAATAGGGTACTCGTAAGCATTTAAAGGTATACGCACCACTTTTTTATAGGGTTCCGCCTCAGTATACAAGTTGAGAGAGACGTTGGCGTCGGGACAGGGCTCTCTCTCGCGACGCCATACACAATCTTCAAAAGAGGCGTTACTATAGACATCACTGTTTAGATACAAAGCCTCTTTGATAGGATTGCGTTGGGCCGCAGCAGCTGAAAAAAAGACCTAAAAGTTAATTAAATCTAAACGCTTTTAAGTTTTAAATTTAATTTCTGCATTTATAATAACAATTTGTAAGTAACATTTCGTACATATTATACGTAATATTATTAAAGATATTCTTTTTTTATTTTAATTTATGAAGTTAAGAGAGCTACTGATATAAATAAATAAGAAAAATAAATATCAGAAAATAATTACAATTGGCATTGTAAAATTAAAAAAAAATATTGCTTTTTTTAATGTAATTGTTTATTGTAAAATTAAAAAAGTCTATTTTTAAGTTTAATTTTTTTTATCATTGTCATATTGTCATGCAAAAGCAATAAGTAATAATTGTTGTGTGGACATACCATGAAGTAATATTGCTACAATTGCAACGACAAGTGGCACGAAGAAGGCACGTAAGCGAGGCATCCTTGCCAGGCGCGGACCGTGTTAACACTGAATGGTAAGAGCCGTGTGGGGAGTGTTATGAAGTCGATGTAATACGAAATTCGCACGAGGCACACTATTTGTGTAATGTTTAATAAAATTATTAAGGAGATGAGAGTCGCAATCGCTACTGGTTCACTCTCATAATGTTCCAATCGCTAATCGATAATATGAGTTCATTGAATCAGAATGGCAGCAACAAGCGAGTACCAACATCTTCCGTATTATAATTTGACTGCTTTTGTTTTCGACTGACGAACTTATATCTCTGTATATAAAAACCAATTGCTGTCCGTTATTCTCGCTAAAACTCGAAACTGTCTCGACCGATTCTGATGTAATTTTTTTGTTTGTTTTGAGTGGATCCCTAGATGGTTTAGATTCATAATTGGACGCGGTAGATGGCGCTATTGTCGAGATCCAAAAAATCACCCGCGTGAAGTCGGGGCGGACCACTAGTATAGTAATATAATTATATAGGTACCTATAATAGTAATATAACTATAGACTATTGTTGAAGTTCTTACTTCCTTCGAGACACTGCTGTTCCGTCTCTAATTTATATGAAAAAATTAAACTTTCTTACATTTACGTTAATTTTAATACTAGCATTTTAACCGCGGCATCGCTCGCATGATCTTTAATTTAGGAACATCTTTATTACCGTTCTATGCCGAAATTGGAAAAATTAATCACTTGTAGAGTCCCCTCGGTGTCTGTCTCTATGTCTGTTTGTTACAGGTTTTTTATGAATACTCGGAGACCGTACTTTTTGCGTACTATATTAAACGAAAGTGATAAATATCTGGTTATTACGAACTAGAGTGATACTTTATGTAAATATTAAACTAAAACAATAAGCTCTTTACGACTTTACGACAGCTGACTCACCTGACTCACTCATGACTTCACTCAGAGCTTGTGACAACTCGTTTCAACCCACTTTTTACTTCGACCTATTACACTACGCGATGTAATTTATTATTATATAGATATTCTTGTCAGTTGCTCCTACAGTGGTCCTTCCGTGATCGTGAGTGCTGCAAAACGCTCAAAATGTGTCCGAAATGTTCACCATATCATCATCATTACAGCGTATCTAAATTTCACTGCTGAACATAAGCCTCCCCCATAGATTGCTCAGTAGGATGAATATTTGCCATTGTTGCCTCACTTGGCAGGTGGGTTGGCAACGCAGTTTTTTTATTTTCTTGGTGTTATTAGGAAGACGCTGCTCCCCATCTCCTGGTTGTTTCCTTTGTCACGTACGCTTTGATCTATGCATATATACTATACATTCATACTATACATATACGCATTGCAGCATTGCGGCGGGCTTTTTTCTGCACACGGCACACAAAATACTAAAGTCATGAGGAGCCCTGTGCACTGTCGTGATACGTAGATATGTAAGCTGCTGCTTTACTTTTTTTACTTTTAATGAGACTTATAAAACAGTCTGTCATTTAATAAGACATTTTCAGACATACTAAGATTTTTGTGTCAGACCCCAGCCTTCATAGCTCACGTAAGAATATGTAAATAAATGTTTTTGCAACAACATCCTCCGTAGCCTGTGTTTAGAAATGGGATATACGAATTATATGGGCTACTACTTTTTAACCGACTTCAAAACAGGAGGAGGTACACATTCGACTGTATTGGTTTTTATTTTATGTGTGTTACCTCAGAACTTTTTTCTAGGTGAACCGATTTTGATGATTCTTTTTTTAGTAGAAAGCTGGTGCTTCTCATGTGGTCCTTGGTCCCATATATTGATCAAGATCTGACCCGTAGTGTCGTATTTAACTGACTACGTTGATGATATTCTCATTTTATTTAAACTGAAGTCGATTATACAGAATTTTTAATTTTACCACTTTTTTAAATGAGATTAGGTTATAATGAAGGTTTTATTTCATTCATATATTCGGTGATGCTATTTTTTACTTGTATCGTAAGTCTTTACAACAACTTAACATCATTAAAAGTAGTGTCAGACTTGGCAGGCGAGTTGGCTACCGTAGCTTTTTATTATTTTGAGCTGATATCAGATGATACTGCTCCCGTTTCTATGGTGTACTGGATTCTCTTTCGCCGCCGACTACATACATAAACGGGAGTAGAAATGTGTACTCTGACACATTTCTACTCCCGTTTATGTATGTAGTTCATGTATGTGGTTCTTTTCACGTTCACTGTGAAGAGAAGTATATTTATTTTGAAATTTTGAAGTCTATTCGCACGTAAAAAATACCAGAATCTAATTTATGGTGCCGTCAATATTTTAATGGGGCTGATGATCTTTTTTTATAGGAGAGGGGGCAAACGAGCATTCGGCTCACCTGATGGTAAGTGACTACCGCCGCCCATGAACAACTACAACACCAAGGGAACCAGGGGAATTGCAGATGCGTTGCCGGCCTTTTAAAAAGGAGTAGGCTCTTTTCTTGAAGGTCCCTAAGTCGTATCGGTCCGGAAAAATCGCTACTGGTAATCGATTCCACAAGAAAGTTGTGCTAGGAAGAAAACATCTTCTAAATCGCACGGTGGTGGACCGCCAATCATCCAGATGGTGTGGATGGTTTCGGGAGTTCTACCGCGATGTGCGTTCGTGAAATTTCACGGCTGGGATTCCGTGGTAAATGCGAAATAAAATGCAAAGGGATGCAACATCTCTTCGCAGTGCCAATGAACCGAGCCGATCGGAAACGACTCGGTCGTCGACGATTCGACCGCTCTGCGCTGGATGCGGTCAAGTGGAAGGAGCTGGCACTGGGGAGCTCCTGCCCAGAGACGGGAACAGTATTCCATGTGAGGCCGAACCTGCGTCTTGTAAAGTTGCAGTCTAGTCAGTCAGTATTGGCTGAGCTTACATGAGCTGGCAGTTAATAATGGATTCCATTGTTTTGGAGAACAAGGAAGTGATGACGATAGGCCTGTAGTTGGACGGGTCTGAGCGGTCGCCTTTTTAGGGATCGGGTGGACAAAAGCTGTCTTCCATGATTTCGGGACTACGCCTAGGGAGTAGGAGTACCGGAAAAGACGCGTTAGAACCAGTGCCAACTCCGGAGCACACGTCCTCAGCACAATTGGGGGGGTTCCGTCAGGCCCACTCGACTTGTGGATGTCCAGGGAGAGGAGTGCTTTGCGAATCGAGCGTTGTGAGAACCGCACATCCGGCATGGAGCACTCACACCGCGGGATGGTCGGCGGTGTGTTCTCCCCGTCATCAAGAGTCGAGCTGACCGCAAAAAGAGAGCTTAAAAGGTCGGCTTTCTCTTTTGCGGCTTGGGCCAGTGAGTTGTCCTCCCTGTGCAGAGATGGTAGTGATGGCTTACAGAAATTCCCTTGGACAGCCTTGGCAAGAGACTAGAATGCACGGGTTCCCGAAAGAAGAAGAACTAGTTTCTCGCCAATTCTGCCTATGTGCTCTGACTTTGCCTTGGTAATAACCCTTTTGAAGGACCTGGAGGCGAAGTTATACTTATTTTAAGCACGCTGGTGTTTACTTCCCGAGTCGCCGAAGCCGCAGCCCAGGCTTGATAAAACTCCTGCTCACTGCGTAATGCAGTCTTACAGGAGCGACCAAACCAAGGCTGAGATCTGCCTCCGATGGGTACCACAGATGATGGAATAAATAGTTCCATTCCCTGTAGCACCACGTCAGTGACAGTCAGCAACAGCGCTGGGATCATCCGGCGAGAAGCAAACCCGCCCCATGGTTAGGATGCAAAGAAAGACCGCATTCCGTCCCAATCCGCCGACCTGTAATGCCAAACACGGCGGCAACCTGCAGAACACAACCGCGAGGGAAGCGTGAGTGACACCACACTCCGGATCAGACAATGGTCCGAAGAGCCGAGAGGGGCATCGACGGAAACCTGATATCCGTTCGGATGAGAGGTCAGCAGAAGGTCCAACAGGGAAGGTGTATGATCCGCGTAGGCGAAGTAACCAGTTGTGTTAGACCATATGCCAAGGAAAAGTCATGAACAGATCTCCCCGCATGATCGGTTAAACGCGAACCGAGCCATTCGGCGTGGTGGGCGTTGAAATCGCCAAGGATCACGATCTCTGCAGATGGTACCTGTTGTAGCATGGAATCTTTAGCCATTTGGACGTGGTCGATGAGTCGGTGTTTCGGCATTACCGCTATGGGACCTACAGAGGCACCCGTAGACGTGCGGATGGTCGTCGCTGTCTACGCGTAGCCAAAGGATAAACAGGTCCAAACCTTCAAGACTACCGAGGCGTCGAGAACAGATGTCCTCTATGACGTATACGGAAACTCCAGCCCGAGGCACAAAGGAGTGCTCCAATTTGTACCCCGGGTAGGAGAGATACGAAGTATCAGCCGGAGAGGACACCTGCGTCTCCGTCAGAGAGCAGTATTAGTCGCGAGCGGAATTTTGCCGCCGATATACTGTGATATTCCAACCCGGCTCGAGCCAGCCCATACGTGCAACAGCAAAAACTGCCGTTAAAAATAATAATATGTGATAAATAAAAATTATGCCGTAAACGAATAAACCATGTAATTCAACATTATTTTATCAAAACTAAATTAATTTTAATTGTGAATAAATGTAAAAAATAAAATTTAAATAATGCAATTCTGACTAGACAATTTACCCTTCCTAAGGATACATCAAAGGGCACGGTGATAACAGTGGTAGCACGAATGGGTCGGCTCGACTGTGGTAGGACCATGCTCTCACGGAATATCTGCGTAAAATAGCAGCTTAATGCTGCTGTGTTTCTTATGATGAGTATAGAGAACCGGAGACCCTTTTTAATGGAAACGAGCCATTCCATCGTAATCCTCAGGGTCAACGTAACTGCATTTTGATTCTTAATCGAAGATATAATGTAGATGTCTATGGGCCACAGCATCCACTTACCATTAGGTGGACTGTGTGCTTGTTTGTCACTCCCATTCTATAAAAAAAATTATGCCCGATTTAAAAAGTGGTAGGTGT